GTAGTTGAGGCATGTTAGAGAGAGAGAGTAGGTAGAGGGCTTGGCAAGTTTTGGGACACTCGGTGATGTGGGACACTCGGTGATAGTTTAGGTTAGTTCTTTAGATATTGTCAGATAAGAGCGAGCGGCGAGAGGTCGGATCTGCGCAATCGAGCAGGGACCTGTCGTGCAGCCAATCAGCAGTTGCCAGGTCGATTAAGCGAGACCTGGCAACTCCTGATTGGCCCGCACACAGGCGGCCGCGAACAGCGCTAATTCCCCCCCCACTTCAATCCTGTAGCAACCAGCACGACGCCACGGGAGACACCATCGCCACAATCATCAATAAATCATCATACCACCTAGATCTTGTTAAGCACATACTCTGGCTAACAGTACGAGAATCTAACAGATATACTATAATTCTTAAAAAAAGTACCTAAGTTTCTTAAAAAGTAGGGTATCTAGAGAACTAGATAAGGAGTAAAAAGGATTTTAATACTAATATTAAAGCTACTATACTAGTTACTATACTAAATTATAATATCTAAGTTTATTACTAACGTAGTTCACAAGCGAGCGGTCCAACCCAAGCGAGCGGTCCATCCCAACTATGATAGCCTAATAACTACTTTGCATTACAATGCTATCCTAACATAACGTGCAATTAACCTATACTGAAGGGACCTTATAGCTTGCTATCTAAGCTACAATTAAAGATTACAACAAGAGCGAAAGACGCGCTATTGCAGCCTTTAGCGTACCTTAAACTACTGTCTGCTAACAACACTAAGGAGCCCTCTCTTAACGCGATTGCGAGCCTAATTTAAAGAAGCTGAGCAAACTAGAGGAGGAGGCCCTTGTACAACGTATACTTGAGCTTGACACAAGAGGAATACCTGCTACAAAGGCTATGGTGCGAGATATGGCCAATGATCTGCTTGCTGAGCGCGGTGGAGAGCCTGTTGGCAAGCACTGGGTAGACAACTTCAAGACGCGTACGCCTGAGATCAAGCTTCGAAGGAGCCGTCCATATGATCGCCAGCGAGCCCTTAACGAAGATGCACGCGTTATAACGCCCTAGTTTGAGCTAGTTGCCAACACAAAGGCTAAGTACAGCATCACAGACAAAGACATGTACAACTTTGACGAGACAGGCTTCATAATAGGGGTTATCTATAGCCAGATGGTCTTTACAGGCTCTAAGAAGCGTAGCACAAAGAGCCTGCAGCTAGGGAACTGTAGTTGGGTCACTAATATACAAGGAGTTAACGCTAAAGGATAGGCTATCCTACCCTTCCTTATCTTCCCTGGCAAGGTCCTTATTACCTTATAGTTTCACAATCTACCTTGGGATTAGGTAATTGAGGTTAGTCCTAATAGCTGGACGTCGAATAAGCTTGGTATTGCCTAGCTGAAGCACTTCAATACCTATACAAAAGACTAGAAGGTGGGTGCACACAGGCTGCTGATTGTGGACGGCCATGAGAGCTACAGCTCACAT